GCCCCAAAGTTGTCAGGAGAAGAATACCTTAGCTGTCTAGCCAATAACCTACCGGAACTTTTGGAACAGACCTTAGACGGAGACAGAATTTATGGTTTCTTTATGACGGGGCACCACCATACATTTTTAGAGGCATCGTTCAGTATTTGAATGAACATTATCCAAATCGCTGGATCGGTCGAAATGCTCCTGATCCTCGAAAATGGCCAGCAAGATCTCCTGACCTCAATCCGATGGATTTCTGGTATTGGCGAGAACCTAACGGGATGGTTTATGGGGCTGGTCCAATAACAACTGAAGCACAACAACAATTTTTAATGCGGCTGAAATAATAAATGGACAACTTCGAGGACCTAGAGTGAGAAGAAACTGGGTTCATCGCAATGAAGCTTTTGTGGAAAGTGGAGGACGACATTTTGAACACCTTCCTTAAATACAAAAAAGTGTAGTGTGGGTTTTAAAAAGAAAAACAATGTATGTAACAAACTTGTGTTCCCTATTTATAAGTAGATTTTTTCAATACGTTCAATAAACTTTCGCACACCAGGTGAAGCGCTGAGACAGTTAGTGGTAAGTCCGTTTTTTTTACGTCTGGCATTGTGGCGTTGTCAAATTTTATTTTACTTTAAAGTCGCTTTTCTCTTAAAAAATGCCGTTTTAACCCCCATTTTATACGAAACTTTTTGCTTCTTTTAACCTCCTTATTTAAATAATGACTATCATAACGTTTACACCCTGTATCTGTATATTTGAGCCGCACCAAGACGTTTGAGTGAAGAAAAAAAGAAGATCGTCGGACTTGACTTTTTGTGCCATTTTCAAATGTGATATTCCAACATATAGGCTTTTTTTTGACGAGATCAGACTTGTATTACTCTTTCTGCTGGTATCACAGTCAGTTCGATAGGATAAGCTGAGTACGTGACCGCAGTTGCAGAAAATAGTATAGTAGTATTAAGTGGTGGTGAGGCTGTGGCGAAATGGCCAAAATCGACAATATCTCGGTTATAAAAGTCTGAAGATCCACCAGCCATAGGTTATCTATAGCCCTCATTAATTGCTGTATAATTCCTCAGCGCATCTGTTTTATCATGCTTGCAATAATATTTTCTGAAGCCCTGTAAGTTACAGGAGAGCATGCCGAAATACATGTAAGCAAGGTGCTTCCAAAGAGAAAGCGACAGTGAGCAGTGCATGAGATGGATTATACTCAAATTGTAACTGGAACCACCAGGCCTGTTCGATCTTGAATGGCCTTCTAGGTAAATTGATTTCTATCTTAGTACCTCCATGGGCATCCCGTTACCTCAAGTATCTGAAAGAGCTCTTGGCATCGTTTGGGAATCGTAATCGTCGCTGATATCGTCAGTGCCACTGCTATCTGAATGGATCTGATTGCAGGTCTTCAGTTTCAGAGAATCTGCTCAAAACACTAGTGTATGTATTATAAATCAGCTTGATGTCACAGATTATAGCGAGCAAAAGCAAACAAAATAACGCATGTATGTAACTCTCGGTGAAGAATGGAGATGCGTACCCACCAAAGTCTATGGTCTACAAATAGTTGGATTACTGGCGGAAAGAAGTATCATGTTTGCCGTGTCGGCAATCGCTGCAGAAATATGATCCCTCTATTTATCTACAAATAGAATCGGCAAATTTGATGCTCTAACTGAAGGCGTCTCGCTTTTTTGTTGTGACTGGAAAAGCGCATAAAAGTTGTAGTTTAATGAAAGGCAACTGTCTCATAAGGTATCACGCGTTATACCTGTATGGTTTGATATGCCATTATTCGTTTAGTTTAGATATACAGTAATGGGCAAAAGTATATAGACAAATATGAATATTTACCTAAGCACCTTTAAAAAATGACTTCATACTCCATTGCTCCATAAACAAATGCGTTATTAGTAGAAAAACTAAATTCCTTGTTTTTACATTATCCGCAATGAACACAATACAAGTATGAATATAAGCACTTTTTTATGAGGGACAAAAATATGTGCACACATTCTTTTCAATATTAGTTTAGTACGGTTTCGTGTCAGAAGAGGACTAGGTTTTGTTCATCAAGTATTGTGGAATAAGTTGAGTGATTTTAAGACCATGCCGCGTGGTCCAGAAATTTAGCCGTTGTCATGCTTTCTTCTAGCATCTATTTGTAAAAGGTGTCCCCAAATTCACTTAATACTTGAATACAAAATTATACATTTCCTTCCTTTGATTGTTTTTTTAGTGAATGAAGATATACGTTGCAGAGGGTTATCTGGTATAGCACATCAAGCAAACAGTATACTCTGCTTAGCTGACGGACATGCATTCTTTTATCAGTACATATCTTGAGTGTCTGTAGGCTTCTTTGTGTCTAAACTGGACAGTACTAGATGTAATATAATACAATAACTTGTAAAACAATTCAGTTGCTTCACGAGATATAGATATATGTTTATTTTTATGAGGTTGCTTGGACACAACATTCACAGATGCTTGTGCAATGAAAGAGGCAATTCACCGATGCCTCAACTATAATCATCCACGTTTAAGCGAACTGGTAATGGAAAACCGAAAAGGATTTTGCTTGATGAGCTAATTAATATGAATCTTTCGTGAATTTTCGAACACGAAGGACACATCGTAGGTTTTGTCCTATGACAGGGAACTGTAATTATTGTGCTTACATTTTTATAAATTCCTGCTTAGTTAGCTGAAAGCATCGACGCCCAGCTGTTAATGCAAATAGACTGATAGTTGTTTAAAGTATGGTGTCAACAATAATTATTGCTTATTGTAATGACGAAATGAAAAAATTATGAGGATAAGTTCTTAGTTAAGGATTATCGGGTATTTATCTTGCAAACGTAAACGAAATGAACATAAAACTTGTAAGATAAGCATTAGTTGTCAATCCGCGCTTTTCCACCTAACCAAAAAAAAAGTAGTATATCAGTAATAATAACAGCCAGAGATTAGTTAAACGTTAACACAGATACATGTAGACATATTATTTTTTAAAACTATATATTATATTATACATCCATAGATGACATATAGCTGTTGCAGTCAGCTTGGTAAAACCTATAATATAAAACGAGTTGATGCTTGAATGAGATTGCTAGAAGTGGTAGCTAATATTTTATGAAGGTAAAATGTCAGAGGTCAAATAAAAAAGACATACAGAAGAATAATTGGCAAATCAGAGTGAAGTGTTAAGTTTAAGACATCTCAAGTCTCAACATAGTCTTCACTTCTCGCTTAAATCTCAAAATTGATAGGGCTTTAATTCTATCATGCAGCGAGTTGTAAAACTTAACTATGTCATATGAAAAAGAGCACTTATAATTTGAAGTTTTAAATTTAGGTAGTGAGAGATGATGTTTAAACCTCGTGTTACGACTATGCACTTCTGTACGGGTCTTGATCTTCTTGTAAAGATAGGATGGTGATTCAGTATTGAGTATCTTGTGGTATAGGAAGCGATGTGAATCAATCGTTCCAAGTGACCATATTTTTTTAATGTTTTAATTATAGGTCAAAGCCGGGTTTTTGTTTTCGAAAATCAAAATCAGCCGATTCAAGTCAAAAAGTTACGGTCAACTGGAAGAAGAAAGGTAGCGCTTTTATTTCGTCAAGACAGGTTTAGGGCAAATATTGTTCTTGGAATTCAGAAGACGGTTACAGCTAAATGCTATACGGGTATGCGATTGTGTGCCACAAATGACAACATCGTGTTTTTAAGAATCCGCAATCCACCGACTTTATACGCTTGACTTGACTCCATGCGATTTTGGTTTATCGCTTTTTGAAGCCACAGTGTAGATTGTAGGTAGGTTTGCATCCGAAGACCTCGTCTCCCACCTAGACGTTACTTACAGCGGCAAAGGTAGAGCTGATTGGGTTCGGTCTTGCACATTATTGTGGATTATATCCAATCCGATGGAAAATATTTTTTTTTCATAGAGCAAGGCTTATGCCGTACCCTACTTACAGGATTCCACGATATTTTTAGCGGTTCTGGTTACAATAGACACTATACTTCATCGTCCAATCGTGGTATGGAATGATCACGTAGGATGGAATCGGTCTGAGTGCTGAGTGACCATACTATCAGTATTCCGTATACTTTGATGCGTGCGGAGCATGATGTTTAATTGCTTTTGTGGATCGGGAATAATTGACCTAAATCATAGGGATCTGCGGAGATACCAAGTGAATTATTGACAATTATGCGGATACGTATATGCTTGAAGAGGGTGCTTCGGTAAATTGTGTGCAATAGCTCGCAGGAGCGTTGTGGATTAATTTATTTTGCGGTGGAAGACATAAGAAAAGCATAATTTGCGTTTCGTTGTCAAATATATAAATTTGTGGTTTTCTCAATTATCTTCGTAAAGAAATCATTCTAATTATCAAGAAATGGATTGGTAAGATGAAACAAACAAAAAGTCACTTTACTGGATTATATCTGGCGGCGAACTTATCGTTAACGTGCAGCATACATCAAAAGCGTTTTCAGTTATTACGCATCAAGGCGTCTGTCATGATACCTAGTAGTAATTTCCATGGAACAAAATCCTGTCTGTCACATAAATAATTTTTTGTAATACATCTCTTAATAAATCATTCACAATTGGGTCAAAACACACTATACTTCTGGCAACGTCGAACTGTCATTTGAATAATACCACACATCCATTTTAAACACATTGTGAATAGATGTTTTATTTTGTGGCGAGCCCAGTGTTTTTTAGCTTTTCTATACTACTGCAGCTACGTATTGCTTATCATAAATCCAAATGCAAGTGATTGGTATCTCCAGCAGCCACTGTACAGTCAAAATGCGCGTTACGCCTCTACACACTTTTAATATCAAATTATGTAGAACAAGTTCTAAAAAATGCATTAAACTTGTTCATAAAGAATTATGAACTAAATGCTGCCATTCTCAATTAAGTGCGAAATTTAACGTAAAAAATGCAGCTACAAAATTTCGCATCGTAACAGGCATCCTTAATATAAGCGCCAGCTCCTGATCAGTCGCCGTGCGCTGTGCGGGTTCGAGTTCCGTCCCAGGAGAAATTTTTCTCTTGGCTATGGATGCTGTGATTGTCCGTAGGTAATAGACGGTCTCTGACTGTCGAACGTGGAGGTACCACCCAGCGGATCTCGTAGGCGGAGCCAGAATGTGTGCATGTTGCATGCACACGTGTTCCCTCGCCAGAGTCCGTGTGGCGTTCCCCCTTTCCCCTGTATCCCCCTATAGCCCCACGGTACCCAGTGGGTGTTTAGGCCTTAGGCCTTCGTGGTAGTTGGAGTATAAAAAAAAGCCAATTGAGCTGTAGGAGGGTTTGGTTCTAGAAGACTAAAAACCAATTTTGTACTTCAAATCATTCTTTAGGATATCTAGGATATGGAATAATTTTATCTATCTGTCAATGACAGAACATTATTACGTCACACTATGCTGTGCATAAGTTACAGCATTCGCCTGCTGACTTTAAAAGAATGAAACACACAAACTTACCGTTTTGCCCTTGTATGATAAAACTTAAAAAGTGACATTATATCGATTTTTCATGAAATTATGTAGGGTTTTCTTCCCACGTACATGTACATCACAAAAAAATATGTCGTTCATTTCCATCGGTCTGTCTGCCTGCTTATCTGTCTGTCGGTCTGTTTGCAAATCGTTGGCCCGTCTATAACTAAAATACTGCTCGCACTTGGACAAAATCTTCACACAAGGTTACTATTATGCCAGGGACAAAAAAGCTTTGTAATGGCAGCGGAGAGTGATGCTCAAATTATTTCTTTTTATGTTAGTATATTAATACCCCGGTATAAAATGCATCTATTAGGAATATTGAGCACATCATAGATTTCCCCGTCCACATGCCATTAAAGTTTGGAATGCTTTCGACGCGCATCCCTGCATAAGTGCTCAGGCTTTACCTGCCGGCGTGCCGGTCTACATAAGTGTCCGCGCATAACTGTCGCATCTTGCGATCGGGTATTGGGGAGAGGCGACGTTACCAGATGGACGGTACTACAGGTAGGGCAGGTATTAATTATAGGACCTGCTTGACGGACATGATTTCTGTGTATGCATGTTCGAAACTTACTTTTTTCTCAGAGAGTCTAAGTTAAAAATGCTGCTTTCATCTGTCCAACCAAATACAACCAACCGTGAACAGCTGTTTCGTGCTTTTCTGGAAACTTATCGCCATAGTCTAGGCTTGGCCTCTGGGACAACGAACGAAAGTATAGCACCTATCTTATATCCAGGATATGGCGGTACCTTATTTCGATAGTGTCTAACTTGTGCTGGATATAATCCTTTATGATTTGATGACGGCGTTGCGTCCGGAGTGCAGAGTAAAATTAATTGAGGCCACTGTTTTGTATGGACGAAGTCACATAGAAGCAGCTTGCACCAGACCCAGAACTGACATTATGTATGTTGGTATAGTAAATACTACTAAAGATTTTCAAAATACGCAGTAGTTGAATCCCCACGTGCATATTTTTGCTACGAGGAGCGGACACAAAATTTATTCGAGGAATGAAAATCACCCCTTTGCACCCTTCGAAGTAGGCATGTTGTGGCCATATCGTAGAATTGATCATTTCATGCATTGATCGAGCAGTTCATGAAATGGTTGCATTTCATGGAATGGCCATCAAAATTTGACCATATGGTTAAATCGTCAACGTTTAACGATTTGGTCATTTCACGATTGGTAATATCGTAAAATAGTGTGTTCATAGAATATTCAGTAAAAATTCAGAACATGTTACGAACTTGTTTGTTATTCTTTAAGTACTACAACCATTTTGATTGATACTAGATTGAAAATTAAAATAAAATAATTATCTTAGAACACTCTTAAATTGCACAACGTATCACATAATAAAATTTTTGAACAAATATTACAAATTAAGTTACGTCTCGTGGTCACTTTACTCTGCTAAACTTAAAAAAAGAATAAAAATTAGGAGGTCTACACACGTAGAATAAGACAAACAGAATATTTAGCTGGCACACGATTTTGAATTCCAATAAATAAATGACAATGTAGTTTAAGAGTGAAATACTAACCTGTAAAACACGTTCCGCACTCTCGGCCTTTTGACGTTTTTATTGCGTGACCCACATAGTACCCTTTTTATCGTGAAGTCTTTCTCCCTCATTTGATAACGAGCTATAAGAAATTTTCACTCCGAAAAATGATGTTTTTATTAACGACAGCCGTGTTGAAATGTAAACAAAGCGTTTGCCGCGCCTCTATGGGTAATTAATGTAAGTATTTTACTATAGCTAAAAAATGCTTGACCTGTTTTATTGATGATATCGATAAACGAGTTTGTTATCATCAATCTGGTCAACGGACATCATGATCTGATTAATACTGAATCACACATGTCATGAATTAGTCAATTTGGTCACAACGGACATACTAGGACATCTCGTGAAATATGGGACCCCGAACTAATAGCATCAAGTGTGGGTCCCCAATCTTGCTTACTATGATTATTAATTCTATTTTAGAATCTTCCAGCTGCTTCTTCGGGCATTACTTAACACACTTACTATTACTTTCTGGCAATTTCAGTCATAACCGAGAAATATGAGGACGCCTGCCTGGACAGGCCGATCCTCGGATTCAGTTATAAATCGAGCGTGCCTTTAAATGAGTGTCATTAAAAGTTTTGTTTCATAGCAGAGTTTGCTGTAGGCGCAGATGGCTGTGTAATGAATCACCAGGGGCGATTTAGGATTGCTCTGCAGCTCCTTGCTGCTGGAGCTTGCGGAGGCATTTTGTAGAATAGGCAAATGGACTGAAAATGTAATCGTCCGGAAGCTATTTGCACTATAATGGTATCCTTAGAGATACTTAGATAACTTGCTGATGCGTGGAGGAATCTGACATTCAGAAAATGCCGGGTCCTACAGGCAAATTGTCTCAGTCTAAGTCTTAGCTATCTAAGAAAATTATGAGTCAATTTATATGAAACTACTTGAGTTCCAAATACAATGTTTGGGGGGTATCACTGCAGGATAAAACCTCGTCAACTAAATCGCGTTCTGTGTTTAGCAATGCACCTCTATGTATGGACGCAAGTAGTAATTTTCAGCTTTTTTCATTTACAGTAACAACTAATTTTGGTCAACATCTAGACGTACTTGTTAACTCATTAAAATACATACAGTTGTATGTATAGTATATACTGCGAAGCTTACATCCGTTAGCATTTCGTGATCCATTGGTTCGTGAACTATATTATCATCTAGTTATTGATACTTATAATCGTCATCAAATCGGCTATGAAGATATTTTTTTTATTCTCAATCTCAAGGGCTGCACACTCGTAATGAATAAAGCATCTATGGGATAATATTACAACTGATATGTCAACAATATCCTCCTCACTATGTACCATGTACAAGCCCAGTCTGTGGGTACTTTGTTTTATATGGCCCTGTAGGATTACCAGATATCACATAATATTTCAGATATTTTCTGGTACATGAGATCCATCTAAAAATGTGTTTATGTGTATCAAAAAGGCTGTAAAACTTACAACTGTTATAAATATTACTCCGCACGCCAACTGGTGAGGAGGTACTGCAATCGCAAAAGATTCGAAAATGACATGTTTTTTTGGACGCTACATACATACATCGGTCTGTCTGTTAGTCTGACAGTCTGTCTGCCTGGTAATCTTTGGCTTATCTATAACCTCGATAGTACTGCACGAATTTTCACACAAAGCTAATATACTAAGTGACATATTAATCCGAACACCCAGTTTAAATGGTTTTATTTTAATAAAATTTTGTATAAGTACTTAATGAAGCATAATAAGTAAATGATAAAAATTTCAAAATGATTGCACTGCTTTAAAGCCCTTTGACCTTTAATAATGGGTGGATGCACCCTGATGTGCTACGCATTCTCCAACGCGCCTAGGCATGCTTCTGATCAGGTGGTCAATGTCCTCCTGTGGTATCTCATTCCAGGCAACCACCAACTCCTCTCGAAGTGCTTCTATAGTCTGAGGAGGACGTTGCAAATTGAGCAATCTCCTACCCATCATACCCCACACGTGCTCAATTGGGGATAAGTCGGGAGATCTTGGTGGCCATGGTAACAATGTGACATCATTATGTTGAAAGAAGTCTATTGTGACTCTTGCAACATGTGGTCGGGCATTATCTTGTTGGAAAGTTGGATCTGCCAGGGTGTCAAGATAGGGTAAAAGATGGGGTTCTAGAACTTCGTGGATATAACGCTGAGCGTTCATGTTACATCTGATGAAGATTAAAGGTGACCTGGAACCATAAGCTATAGCACCCCAAATCATAACTCCAGCAGTGTGATGAACATGACTTTCAACAAAAAACTGTGGATTCCTCCTTTCACCACGTCGCCTTCTAACCCTGGCACGACCATCGTGCATGCCTAAACAAAATGGAGACTCGTCACTAAAGACAATACTGTTACATTCCTGATCCCAGAGTGACCTTTGTCTGCACCACTCAAGGCGATTACGTCGGTGTTCTCGAGTTAAAGTGATGACCCAGTGTGGCCGGTTTGAAAACAAGCCAAAGCTTCTCATTCTTCGGTAAACACTTCGCATGCCAATAGGTCTTCCGTGTTCTGCAAACCATTCATTTGCAATGGACCTGGTAGTGGAGAAACGGTCCCTTAAGGCCAATAATCTTAGGCGGCGATCTTCACGGTCTGTTGTTCTACGGCGGCGTCCAGTGGTCCTTGCTCTTTGCGTACGGCCTTCTCGAAACCATGCCTGACAACACCTAACCACAGTGTCTACACTTCTTTGCACTCTAACTGCAATTGCCCGAAAAGAAAGTCCAGCTTCCCGAAGTCCCACTATACGGCCCCCAACAAACTCACTAAGTTGACGAAATCGTACAGGTCTCCATAATCTAGGCATCGTAACCGATCGTAAAGGATGTCAAGAACCAAAATCCGCCAACGTTGATTCTTTACTGCGGCTGAAATATTCATTTTTAGAGCGTTAGTGAATTAAAAAAAAGCAGTATAAAAACCGGAATATCCAACTGATAAGGCTAAAAATTTTTTCACTTGTTATTTACAGTAAGATAAATACATTCACCAACTTTTATTAAAATAAAACCATTTAAACTGGGTGTTCGGATTTATGTCACTTAGTATACAATATACCATGCCAGCGCCTAAAAAAAGGTTTAAAAAATCGATAAATCGCTCATGTTCAGAAATTCCTTTAAATGTTGCATTTCTGGTTTCAGTGAAACACATTTTATTAAGACTTGTGATTCCGGTAATATGACGCACCTTTCACATAATTTTGTCACGAACAA